TGATCCAGCTAGGATCTCCCACTCTCTTTCCCTCGAACCTCGCCCTTCATTGCTCCCACTCATGTCCAGGCTGTTCATGTAGATCTCACCCATTTCTCCATGTCTTTCTTGGGGTCCCGTTTTCCAGGTAGCCTCACTGGTGATGAGAGTAGCAGTCCAGTCATTCTTGTTTTGTGTGGTCATCTTTTATTGGCCAGGCATGATCAAGACCTCTGACATGGACTGGTGCTAGGTCCTTCGGCAGACTCTGAAGGATCAGGAACTCTTGATATCAACCAGAAACTCCGACAGTGACTCTTGCTAGGTCCTCAGGCCAACTCTGACATGGACTAGGAACTCTGCCAGCTCCTGTTGCTAGGTCATCAGACAGACTCTGAACACTCTGGAACTCTAACATTGACTAGGAACCCTGATGGCAACTGTTGCTAGGTCCTCAGGCATACTCAAGTTTGGCTCTCAAGGAGTAAGGTATTTGCATTCCTTGGCTACTGGTCTGAGCCAATTTTCTCAAACCTGTGGGGCTGTCCTACTACATATTCACCCTTTATTATATTACCAATATATAAGGGACCCAGGTCAGCTCAGCTTCTATATTACCCATGTCGGCTAACACACACAATTTTCCAAATTAATCAGACATGGCCAGGGGTTGTGGCCTTTGACTATTTTTTAAACTCTTGGCATGATATAGAAAGGGTGATGGATCCCTCCTGGATTCTCACTTGTGTTCTGAATGGCAGATGGCACTTTTAATCTCCCCCCTTTTTAATTGGCTTCCACCATACATCCAGCAACAATGGAAGCCACTTAGGTGACGCTACAGAAGTCAATCGATCTTAGACATCCATCTCATGGCCCGCTAAAGACTTGTTCATGCCTGCCTTTCTGAAATCCAAAAGGCCTGACCCTCCCAACCTGGGGTGACTCCTCTGGGATGGATGCTCTTCAAGGGCTGGTAGTCACAGATGGGTAAGACCTTGCTTGGCAAGCCAACCTAAGACAGGCACATTCCAGTTACTGGGAACCCTGAGGCGGGGTCAGTAGGACAGGAGCAAAGGACTCTGACACCCATTGAGTGGCCACATAATAAAATAAAGGATGGATATGTAGTAGGAGAGGCCTGTGGTTTTGAGGAATTTGGGTCAGACCAGTTGCCAAAGCATGCACATGCTATACTTTTTATGAGCCAACCTGGAGTCTTCCTGAGGGCCTAGCAACAGGCTCTGTCAGAGTTCCTGATTGTGCCCAGCCAGTGAGGGATGACCTCACAAGGCACCCAGATTGTGACACAGCCTGGGTGTTGGGAGGAGGGTATAGAAGGCCTTCCCTGTTATTGAATGATCAACTTTGCTGTTTGCCTTCAATGGACTCCTGGTGTCTGTGTCATTGATGCTGTGTCTTCTCACCCCTTCCCCTAAGGGAGCTGCTAGTTTCCACTAACACCTCCCCCACTCTGATCCCAATTCTTCATCACAATCTGCAATCATCTTATCTTTACAGATTCTCTAGTAAGTCTGAACATTTTTATTTATTCCATTTCTTGCGTTCAATTTGCATATTTTGGATGTTAGACATTTATCTGTTCAATATTTTCGTTTTATTTATCTGAGTTCTTTTGTTCAATATGTATATTTCGTATATTAGACCTTTATCAAATGACAATTTTTGTTTTATTTGATTTCCTGTGTTCAAAAAGTATATTTTATATTTGACCATTATCACATGAAAATTTTATTTCCTTTTTTAAACTTCTTTGGAACAATATGTATATTTTGGACATTAGAGTTTAATCAGTTGAGAATTTTTGTTTTTTTTTTAAATTTCTTCTTTGCAAAAAGAAAATTTTGATATATGACTGTTATCACATGTGAATATTTTTGTTTTTCTGATTAATTGCATTCAATATGTATATTTTTGATAGTTTTTCATCAGATAAGAATTTTTGTTTTATTTTAGTACATTCTTGTGTTCAATATGTTTATTTTGGATTTTAGACCATTATCAGATGAGAATTTTTGTATTATTTATCTAATATCTTTTGCTGAATATGGATATGTTCGACAGACTTTTATCAGATGAGAATTTTTGTTTTATTTAATTTCTTGTATTTAATAATATGTTTTGAATATTAGATTTCTATCAGATAAAAATTTGTTTTATTTAATTTCTAGGGTTCAACAAGTACATTTTCTGATATTAGACATTCATCAGTTAACAACTTTTGCTTTATTTGTCTAATTATGTTCAATATGATATTTTTGATATTAAACCTTTTTCAGATGACAATTTTTGTTTTTTCAATTTCTAGGGTTCAATAATATATTTTGTATATTAGAACTTTATCAGATGAGAAATTTTGTTTTTTTCATTTGATTTCTTGGTTTGAATATGTATATTTTAGATATAAATTCTTTATCAGGTGAGATTAGAGAAATGTAGTTCTGATTGTGTAGAGAAAGGCACCGTGGAAATGTATTTCTCATGACATTGAGAAAGGCACTGAGGGTAATGTAGTTCAGATGATGTAGAGAAAAGCACTGTGGGAAATGTAGTTTTGACAACACAGAAAAAGGCACTGTGGGAAATGTAGTTGTGATGAACAGAGAAAGGTACTGTTGGCAAGGTAGTTTTCATGACACAAAGAAAGGCACTGTGGGAAATGTAGTTCTGATGACATACAGAAAGGTTCTGTGTGAAATGTAATTCTGATGATGTAAGGAAAGGCACGGTGGGAAATATAATTCTGACAGCACAGAGAAAGGCAGTTTGGGAAATGTCATTCTGATGACTTAGAGAAAGGTTCTTTGGAAATGTAGTTTTGATGACATAGAGAAAGCCACCTGGGAAATGTAGTTCTGATGACACAGAGGAAGCAACTGTAAGAAAAGTAGTTCTGATTCTGTAGAGAATATTGCCCTCTGGAAAATATAGTTCAATGATGTAAGTAAGGGCACTGTGGGAAATGTACTTTTGATGAAATATAGAATGGCACTGTGGGAAATGTAGTTCTGATGATGTAGAGAAATGCCCTGTGGGAAGTGTTCTTCTGATGACACAGAGAAAGATATTGTGGAAAATGAAGTTCTGATGATGTAGAGAAAGAACCTGTGGGGAATTTAGTTCTTAGGACATAGAGAAAAGCCCTGTGGGAAATATAGTTCTGAAGATGAGGAGAAAGCACTGTGGGAAATGTAGTTCTGAAGCAATAGAAAATGTCTATTGTGGTAAATGCAGTTCAGATGACACAGAAAATTCCCTGTGTGAAATGTATTTCTGATGATGTAGAGAAAAGAACTGTCAGAAATGTAGTTCTGATGATGTAGAGGATGGCACTGTGGGAAAGGTAGTTCTGACCACACAGAGAAAGTCATTGTGGAAAATGTAGTTCTGACCACACAGAGAAAGTCATTGTGGGAAATGTAGTTCTCATGATACTGGGCTTGCTTTACATTTCTACTGATTTGAGAAAAATGAAAAAAAAAACAGATTTGAGAAAAGAATACAAAAATGGAAAAACCTGATTTGAGAAAATGAAAAACACTGATTTGAGAAAAGAAGAGAAAAATGAAAAAAAACTGATTTGAGAAAAATAAAAAATACTGATTTGAGAAAAATGAAAAAACTCATTTGAGGAAAAAAGAGAAAATGAAAAAAAACTGATTTGAGAAAAGAAGAGAAAAATGAAAAATTGATTTGAGAAAAGAAGAGAATAATGAAAAACACTGATTTAAGAAAAGAAAAGAATAATGAAAAAACCTATTTGAGAAAAGAAGAGAGAAATGAAAACACTGATTTGAGAAAAAAAGAGAAAAATGAAAAAAAACTCATTTTAGAAAAGATTAAAATGAAAAAACTCATTTGAGAAAAGGAGAGAAAAATGAAAAAACTGATGTGAGAAAAGAAGAGAAAAATGATGAAAACCCTTGACTTCCATGTGCAGGACTGAAAAAACTGAAATAAAAATGAGTGATGATTAAATAAATTACGTTTTTATTTTGTATATCCTCTCTTTCACAGACACCTGTCCTCAATGGAGATATTCGTCTGGTGAGTGGAGAGTTAATAAAGCCCCATGGCTGTTTAAATTCGAGTAGGTTTGGAACAAATTAATTATTTTATCAAAAATACTCAATTTGCAGAAATATGCTCAAAATATAAAAACTTAAAAAAAACTTTTAAAATAATACAAAGAAGAAGAAACATCTTTCCAACACTGGTAACATCATAAAATATGATTGAAATTGTTTTTATTTAATTCCCTACTTTTGGCGTTCTGTAGATATTTTATTTATTTAATTATTTAATTATTTATTTATTTATTTATTTATTTATGTATTTATTTATTTATTCATTTATTTGGTATGGGTTTCAAATAGAAAAAATAATTCATGTAAGGCCTATGGTCATTTATTTTCCAGGTAAAGTGGATAAATTTAGGAGGGCAATCAATGACTAAATAGGACTAGTATCATGCTAAGTCCTGAAGGTGACACACTGAATTGAGATTAAATATAAAGTGGATTTGCATCTTTCCAACTTGCATTTACATCTTTCGACATGACTTACTACTTTTATATTAAGAAGAAATGCAACCACAAGCACTGAGAAAATGAGGTTCCTGAGACTAAGATCCTGAAAAGGAAGCATGAAACTCACTTGCTTGTCTTTAGAAGGAATCTGAATAATGAGATTTCGGGGGTGAGAAATCCACCATTCTACCCACCGTCATCCATCTCAGGCTCTTGTGTATTCCATACAGCATGACGTCTTTATTACAATGTAATATGTTTTTTTATTGATGCTCCAAATTATACAGGTGACAAGACGGAGCCTACTTGCTCCATATTTGTTCATGGCATCAAAATCACCAATGCAAATTTGTACCATTTTACTCTCCCGGGGGTCTGGTCACCTGTCCTGTGTTGTTCAAGTCCTGAACTTAGTCCTTGCACTCAAATTTCCTCCCTTGCATATTTGGACCACTTGTCTTTCTCTATGGTTCAGTGAATAAAGATCTTCTTCTTCATATTTTTATTTTTTTAGGGTTTTTTTTTTGAGACAGGGTTTCTCTGTGTAGTTTTGGTGCCTGTCCTGAATCTCGCTCTGTGGACCAGGCTGGCCTTGAACTCATAGAGATCCGCCTGGCTCTGCCTCCTGAGAGCTGGGATTAAAGGTGTTTGCCACCACTGCCAGGCTGAATAAAGTTTTTCTGCTGGAATGAGTGTTTAAATAAAATTATTTATTTTTGCATCTACCTAGTATTAAATAGAAACCCCCAATATGGGCGTGGCATATGGTAATGAGGGGTGTTGTCTGTCTTTGTGGTGAGTAGGCGTGTGGTATGCTAATGAGGCATCTGCTCAGTCTTAATGATGATTAGGGGCATGGCATATGCTAATGAGGGGTGTGCTCTGTGCATGGTGGTTAGGGGCGTGGCGTATGCAAATGAGGTTCTCCTCTGTCTTCCTGGTGATTAGGGTCTTGACATATGCTAATAGGGGTGTGCTCTGTGCATGGTGGTTAGCGGTATGGTGTATGCAAATGAGGGGTCTCCTCTCTCTTCATGGTTATTGGGGGCATGGTGTATGCTAATGAGGTTTTCCTCTGTCTTCATGGTGATTGGGGCCTGGGATATGCTAATGAGGGGTGTGCTCTGTGCATGATAATCAGGGACCTGGTCTATGCTGATGAGGGGTCTCCTCTGTGGATGATTAATTAGGGGCGTGGCATATGATAATGAGGGATGTGCTCTGTGCGTGGTGGATAGGGACATGGTGTATGCTAATGAGGGGTCTTCTTTGTGGATGATAATTAGGGGCATGACATATGCTAATGAGGGGGTCTCCTTTGTGCATGATGATTAGAGGCATGGCGTATGATAATGAGGGGTCTCCTCTGTGTATGGTGATTAGGGGTGTGTCATATACTAATGAGGGGTGTCCTCTGTGTATGATAATTAGGGGCATGGCCTATGATAATGAGAGGTGTCCTGTATGCATAGTGGCTACAACTCTGTGCATGGTGGTTATGGGCGTGGCATATGCTAATGAGGGATCTCTTCATTCTTTCACCATTGATTAAAAGGAGCATCCAATCTTCTCCAAAGGGCTAAGAATTTTCACAACCCAACTATAACATTATTTCGTGGCTACTTCTTAACTATAATATTGCAGCTCTTCTGAGTTGTAATATAAATATCTGATGGGGAGGATACTTTATATAAGACCCCTCTGGGGGTCACGGTTCACACTGTGAGAATGGGTAGTGTAGAATTAAAGGAACTTTGAATCTGATATTGCATTCCAGCATCATCCCACCTTTCATAAGATAGACTGGGATCTTTATTTATTTATTTATTTTGGCCTGAGGTATTCTGGGATATCCCTTTTCTTCTCTATTAAGCCCAACATGTTCTCTGAGTCATGATCTCTTCAGTCTTTACTTTATGGCTTTCTGATCATCTTTCTGACATGGATCTTTGAGAGACTCCCTTTCGAAAGAATATCCA